TCGAAGTAAATCAAAGTATATCTATATAGGGTGGGCATTAACTATGTTCGAATAATATGAAAAAATGTTATATAGAAGGGGAAATCATAGAGAAGATTTCAAGATCATTTATATAGGCCAACATCTGATTATCTTTCTATTCATTGTGATGACTTTCATTATGAAATTGTGAATCTATACAGGGTGGGCATTAACTATGTCCATCTTGAATGCGGTTATTTGTAATAGTATGAAAAAAATATTATATAGAGAATTTGTATAGAGAAAAAAGCCATAGAGAAGATGACGACTTTTATTATGAAATCGAGAATCTATACAGGGTGGGCATTAAATACTGTCCACCTTAAATATTGCCATTATTTGTTATAATAATATGAAAAAATATTGCACAGAGGGGGCAGTTATAAACAAGATTTCAAGATCATCTTATATAGATATATATATAGGGTATCTTGATCAATATTTGATTATCTTTCTTTTCATTGTGACGACGGCGAGTAACGAATCAAAGTGAATGATCATCTATATATATGTATCTGGTATTGGTTGTTCGATTACTTCTTTCGATTGTAATAATAAAAAATATTTATAGCTGTGCCATTGACTTTAAGTGTAATAATTTTTTTAATATGATAATGGTGGAAAAAAAAATATTTATAGCTAAGTCATTTTAAATATAAATTATGTCTTGATTATTTTTAATTGCGATAATATTAAAAATATTTATGCTATATATGTTGCTTGTGATTATCTATATACAGGGTGTCTCGATTGATATCTGATTACTTTCTTTTCTCATTGTGAAAAATATTCGATATTGCCATAAGTGATGATGTATAAAACGACATATAAACTGAAAAATATTTAGAACTATATATCACCGACTTTAAGAGTGAATCTCTATTATCTATATACGTCTCGATTGTGGCGATACGAAAGAATATTTAGAGCTATGCCATTGATCTCAAATATAAACGGTCACGGTATATATATACACATATGGAACGTGTTGATTACCATCGATTATCTTTTTTTAATTCGATAATGGTGGAAAATATTTAGAGCTTTCAAGAGTAAACTGCTTACGGTATATTTATCTACAGAATGTCTTGATTAATATCAGCAATTATTTTTAATTGCGATTTATTAATCGATATGTCACAAATTTTGCATGCATATTTATAGCTTATCGATGTACTAAATTTAAATTTTTTTTTCTTAATTAAAATATTCGACTCAAACATATATTCTTATTTTCCAACAATTCAAATGGAATATATTTTCTCGCAAAGTTTTCCAAACATCTGCTCCGACTTATTTCAAAATCGCCGCAGAATGAATACACAACAAAATCATTGAAAGAGTAAGACATCATCTATACGAAACAATTGTAGGCTATAAGCCAGCGTCCACAGGAAAGCTCTGGCCGTCCCCCGATAGTTTTCGCTGCCACTTCCAAGTTTGACCCACTTCCGCCCGAGCCGATGAAGAGAAAGAGAGACGGCCTTTGGATCGCCTCGATCACGAAAATGGGAACAACGGGAACACAGATTTTTGAGGTACACACCCCTCGGTGGCTCAAACTGGAAAACATCAGTTCAACCCTCCCTTCTTCCTTCCCCTGGCCTTCGAAAATATGGGGTTGGGGAGGGGAGTCTCACGATTCAAATTTTTCGACGCAGGAACACGATTTGCACGGCGATTACGAGGCCAAGCTTTTAAAAATGGACGACATCGAGCGAATTTTATTTCTTTCTTTAAATCGATCCGTTAATTGTCTCTTTTAATTCACACGGTTATTGAATTGTGTATGAACAATTCATAATATTAGATTCGATAGATCTAGATTCGAGATCTGTTTGGAAGCGACCTGTCTGGAAGACATAGAGAAATGAAAAGGGAAGAGAAGAAGAATTAATGGAAATTCGTACAGATGGGATGGAATCGGCTGTCGAATTTTATTCCACGCGTGATTCGAAGAGATTCGCGGTCGAAGCCTTCGCGTGTTATGGCCTTTCTAAAGGGGGGCTTTGTTCGATCGGTGAAAAATAAAAAAAAGAGGAGATAGATAGATAGATAGAGAGAGAGAGAGAGAGAGAGGAGGAAACGATGAGCCGACGTATTAAAAAGTCGTGCCTATTGATGGCTCGTTACAAAAGCGGCCCAGTTGAAAGCGGATACCGGCCAGCTACAAAAGCCACCGAACCACCCTCCCCTCCTCTCAACCAGTGGCGCATTCAAAAATCACGCGAGAAAAATCTTTGTGGAGGGGGGAGAGGCCCCGATGATAAAGTAAATGTCGAAAAATATCGTTCGTTCGCTCGCTCGCGCCATAGATGAAATATCATCTGCGTTGGAAGGGGAACAGGAGAACGAGAGAGAGAGAGAGAGAGAGAGAGAGACAGGGGTGAGCAAATTCACTGTGGATGCTCTAGAGGGGGTGGTTCACGCGAAGCGGAAACGCTCGCGTTAAATATCTCACGATTCGGTCGATAAATTTCAATCGAAGACAGGGAATTATCGCGCGATCGTTGAATATTCCTCTTCTCTTCCTTTTTTCTCTCTTCTCTTCCTCTTTGTTTTTCGATTTTTTCTTCTCTCTCTCTCTCTCTTTCTCATTTTCTTCTTGAGTTTTTTTTTATCCACGATTTCGAGAAATTTATATAATCGTTCTAATATTTTTTTGGAGAAAAGAGTTTATTGAAACGAGTATGATTATAAATTTAGATAATAACACTATGTTTATTTATTTACACGGAGGGTTATTAGCGTGTAATATTGTATCGTATTTACACGTTGTCAACGTTATATATGTATAACCTATATTATTAATTATCCCCCCCCCCTCCCCCTTCTATTGAATATTAATGCGAAGCGAATGAAGAATTTAATTAAAACTTGGTACGGAATTTTACGTTTCGTACGTGTAAATATTGACGTGTTATTTCATTTGGAAATAATAGAAATATAAATATGTAAATATCGCGGTTCAATGATATCTAATCAAATCAATTTCGTTTCATTCTTCTCGAATAAAAGTTTTTCTTTCCTTTCTTTTTTTGTGGTTTATTCGATTCTTATACTCCTGTTTCGGAATATGGGCCTGTCACGATGAGCAAACAGACGGATGGGTGATCACCGGAGAATGAAATGAAAATGATGATACGTATAAAGCTATATTCCGTACGTATATCGATAAAATTCAACATTCAAGAGACGAAATATCTAATATCACGTGAAATATGATAACTGTCAGTGATAATAATGCGTATTTGTAACGAAACAGTAATAAACTTTGCGTGTATCCTGCTTTGTTATTTCTTTCTTCCTCTTCTTTTTTTTTTTAATCAAATTTAAATTTCAGAAATGTAAAATTATGTCAAAATGAAATATCCATTCTAATTTTGAAGAAATACATTACATCTCAAAAACCAAGGTATTTAAAAATATAATTCAACTTCACGATATCTTATCAGCAGTTTCACATTTACTTTCAAATTAAAAAAGCTACTTTCTCGGATTCCAAATCTATATTGTGGCATTTTCTTCGCCATAAAAACTCTCAATACAAATTCAAGATGCATAGATTCCACGCAAAGATTATTCAAATAAATTATTTCGCGGAATATCTAAAAAGATATTTAAATTAGGTAAACGTTACTTTTGTCTCCCGATATCCCATCCATATATAACAGAAATACACAACATTCTTCCAGATCTTCCTTCTCTCACCATTAACTACCGTTACATTATTTTTACACATCACCAATCGTTCGTTAAAAAATTCGAAGAATCTTTGAAATTTCTTCGCCTCGAGTAGGAAGAATTTCGCAATTCTTAGATTCTTAAAGCCAGGCGACTCACTTTGATCAAGAATTCGCTTTCTTCACGCCGCATTTGCTCCGCGGCGAGGACACACCGGCAAGGAGACAATTAGGGGAAGGGGCGTGAAACCGGAGGAGAAGAGGGTCCTGAACGGTTGTTCAGCAACGGGATCACGAAGTACAAACAATTTGGTTAACGAGGGGCGGCTATTAGGGCCGATTGGAAGTCGATTCTTGGGATGGTTGGGGCGGCCTTCGTTCGTACGCGGAATTGCGCCCCGCGTTGGGCTGCGTGTCACGCGCGCACCCCGCTTCTACTCGTGCGTGTGCACTTTCCCCCCTCCCCGTGCACGCCTCGTTAGAAATGCATTTCCTCCCCGCGCCAAGTCGTCCCCTTTGACCAGACTCCTTTTCACGAGTCGCCATTTCTATTCTTCCCTTTCGATTCTATTTTTCATAGCGATTTCATTCGACGATATAATTCCCTCCTTGTCTGAATTTAATATTTTATTATTATCAACAGTGCAAGCTACTAGTCTCCCATTTTTCTTCGTTTTCAATTCTATTTTTCATCACGTTCAATCAATATTGGTATCTTAAGTTTTGTAAAAAAGTACAACATTCGTTTTAAAATTATATTCAATCTTGGATATTTTATCTGCTGGTCCTCCTCCTTTCTCGATTCATTTCTTCTTTTTTAATTCTATTTTTCATCACAATTTCAATCAGTAAAACAATATTTCCTTTTTCTTTCTAAATTTGAATTTTCTTGTTCTTTTATTTCTTTATGTTCTCTTTCTTTTTAAATTTTATCACTCCAAACACTCTCAAGTATTGTATCTTATGTTAAAAATATTATTCAATTCAAGTTTCTCTTCTTTTCTTTTTTTTTAATTCTGTTTTTCATTCAATCAATACAATTTCCTTCTTTCTCTATAAATTTGACATTTTATCACTCCAAGCACTCTCAACTAATGTATCTTATGTTAAAAAAATCAAATACAAGTTTCCCTCCCTTTTTCAATTCTATTTTTCACTCAATCAATATAAATTATTCCCTCTTTCTTTTTAAATCAAATATAAAATACAACTTTCTCCCTTTTTTAATTCTATTTTTCATTCAATCAATATAAATTATTCCCTCTTTCTCTCTAAATTTAATATTTTATCACTCCAAGCACTCTCAACTAATGTATCTTACGTTAAAAAAATCAAATACCAAATACAATTTTTCCCCTTTTCTCTTTTTTAATTCTATTTTTCATTCAACCAATATAAATTATTCTCTCTTTCTCTCTAAATTTAATATTTCATCATTCCAAGCACTCTCAACTATTGTATCTTAAAAAATTATCCAATACAACTAGTTAATACTAGTTCCCCTCTTTTCTTTTCGCCATTTCTTTTTTTTTTAATTATATTTTTCATCACTATTTCATTCAATCAAAAATCACCCAATTAATTACTAATTGTAAAAAAGTCACACAAAATCATACAACTAGTTAGTACTAATTTTTCTTTTCACCATTTCTTCTTTTTTAATTCTATTTTTCATCAATCAATTTAATTTCATTTAATCAATACAACTATTCCCCCTTTCTCTCTAAATTTAACATTTTATTATTCTCAACTATTGTATCTTATGTTAAAAAAATCACCCAAATACAACTTTCCTCTTTCTTAATTCTATTTTTTCTCACAATTTCAACCAATACAAAAATTTTACATTTTATCACTCCAAGCATTCTTAACTAATGTATCTTATGTTAAAAAAATTATCCAAATACAACTCCTTTTTTCTTTTTTAATTCTATTTTTCATTCAATACAATTATTCCCTCTTTTTCTCTAAATTTATCCCTCCAAGCACAACTATTGTATCTTATGTTAAAAAAATTACCCAAATACAACCCTTTTTTTCTTTTTTAATTCTATTTTTCATTCAATACAATTATTCCCTCTTTTTCTCTAAATTTATCCCTCCAAGCACAACTATTGTATCTTATGTTAAAAAAATTACCCAAATACAACCCTTTTTTTCTTTTTTAATTCTATTTTTCATTCAATACAATTATTCCCTCTTTCTTTCTAAATTTAATATTTTATCCCTCCAATCACAATTATTGTATCTTATGTTAAAAAAATCATCCAAATACAACTTTCCCTTTTCTCTTTCTTAATTCTACTTTTCCTCACAATTTCATTCAACCAATATATACAATATTCCATCTTTTTTCAAAATTTATTATTTTATCTCCAAATATTCTCAACTAATGTGTCTTATGTTAAAAAAATTACCCAAATACAACCCTTTTTTTCTTTTTTAATTCTATTTTTCATT